AGTGCAGAGTTGCAGATCAGGAATGGGAAGAAGCAGCATCGAAAGTCGGAGTCCTTTCCCGGATCCTCGTCTTGGGTAAAACGAACAATTAAACAAGAGAAAGGACCATCAAGAATCACACATTTGGTTCAGTGTTGAAACCGATTTAATCGCAGTGGATCGTATATCTGCAGACTGTGAGGCACAAGCCCCTACATTTCATAAACATACAGACCCAACTTTCCAATGGTCGGACTGGTTTAACCTGTGTATGTGAGTTTTGTTGATCCACAGATATATCATTGCATTCTCTGAGAATGTTCAGACTCAATCGACTGCTTTGCGTCATCGGTCAAATTGGGTGGACTTTATCATCTTCCGAGCTCACCCAAATGCTGTGCTTGAGAGACTAGTTAGACTAGTTCACTGTTCATGAATGAGTGGACTTGCAACTTCAAAGCCACTCCAGGTTCACTCTCTTTGGGTATGAAATCATCCCGAACCCATGTCAGTCTTGTTCGTTTTCACCTCCACAGGTGAGCGTGCAGCACAGGTGGACGGGCCCAGATGGGCTGGGCACAGAGACCGGCGGAGTCTCTCGTTGACTCGTCTGAAGCCGGCAGGTCCGAGATCAGAGGTGTCTGAACGTTCAGAGGTGACAAGTGACCAGGTGTGCGAAAGAAAGGTTGTGTGCTTTCCACTGGCCTGCAAACTGCAATTTTCTCTACTAACTTTGTTTTCTCTACATCTTTTGGTGTGGGAAGGTGGCGCGTCCAGAACTGAAGCCCAGAACAAGCCTGAAGTATTTTGAAGGACTGACACCCCTGTTTCGCTCCACACGCGGCCGATCCCTCTCAGGCAGAAGAGATGATCCCGCCCTGGCAGGCTTCAGGCGGATTGGCGGATTGGCCAGGTTTCGGAGCGCGTCGAACTTCATGCAGACGAGCAAGACCTCATGTGTTAGTTGTTGTCAGGAATATATTTATGATTTATGATCCTGCGTCGCTATTTTGCAACGGACTAACGAGTCAGCACGGTCGGAGGAGGCAAACAATCATAGTTTCATAGGTTAAAATGTAGGAGGCTCTACCACAACTAGCAGCTAGCAATGAGTTCACAACCCCCAATATTTGCAGTGTTTGTTGAATTTTGCTTGGACGGCCGCTACACTGGCCATATTAGGTGCAGGGTGCCCGAGGACCAGTTACGGCGTCGGTGCCAGGGCTCCACTCTTCGGCAATGGGCCCCGGCTCTTCGGCGCCAGAGTCGCCCTCCGAGATGCCAGCGCGGAACCCCAGCGAAGCCACAGAAGCAGCCAGGTGGATGCACGTGATGTTCACATGAAGGGTTTTGGCAGAAACATGTTTTTTCGATGTTTGCACAGCAACACCCAAGTCGACATACTCATCGTTCTCCGCGCTGCAATCGAGGTGCCCACAGAGATGCCCACCAGCCCTGCGATGGACATTGGAGAGGCGGGGAGCGCAGGATTGGGAGTGAGGTGCTTCCGCAAATCTCCGGTTAGGATTGGGTTGTGCAGCACCTCCCAAAGTCTCTTCAACGATTTGTTTCGTGATAGAGAACGCAGGGCAATTTCTAGAAAGATGATGAACTCCACAAACAAATATACACACTATTCTGCACCCTCTGAAGTACTTGAAGACTCAGTTTGATGAAGATCAGTATCCATTGGTTTACGGTCCCTTCGTACAGAAGACTTCCATAGTCTTGCCGGATTGTCTTTCTCAGCGCCGATCATGAGGCACCACTACCTGTGCCCATTGCGCCCTTGTCTGAAGGCGGGCGAGCTTGCAATTTTGGTTGTCCGAGCTGAGAGCTGCAACTGGGGATCGCGGATCGGTTTGGCAGCTAAGCAATTTGTGGGGTGGCCACATGCTTGGATCGTTTGGTGAGCGATGGTGAGTGAGTGAGGGTATAAAAATGGCCGCCTATGATGACTCTTGTTGACATATGTCGACATTACACATGGGAGAGACATGATAATGACAGAGATCTCTTTCGCACGGCCTTGGAAACAATCAGGCGAAGAAGAGGCAACGGTGCAAGAGGCAGTTGACGGCTATCGTTCGTGGGACTGTTGTTCGTGGGTCCGGCGAGGCGAGGAACAGCCACGAGCCAGCTCTTGTTTTGATCCACCAATGGGGCAGAGACTCATTCAGTCCAAGGTTCTGATGTGCCATGTGGTGGTCAAGTCTTCGTCACTTTTGGCACAAGCCCCACCAACCCAACTGTCCCATCCGTGGAGTGCTCGTCCTTGCTGAAGCGTGCAGTCAATGGGCATGGATGAAGGGATGGTTTGAACATAAGGAATGGTTTGAACATGTGGATCAAAGGATAAATATACTTTCCGTTGTTCAGCTTTTTCTTGAAGTCTAAATGGTGAGACTACAATCCCCCGCACATTCCCGGATGTACTGTAATCGTTGGAACTGGTTGACTTGAAGCTATACCCAGATGGACCCGACAGCGGTTTGCAGAATACCTACATAGGTCACCATCCTCCGCCATGCAGGCCGAGGTGCCAATGCCGTTGAGGTCCGCAGGCGTGCCACGTGGCGCACGAGCTGTGCGGCGTAGAACGGTGTCGGCTGCAGGATTGATTGAAGTCTTTTTGCCAGTAGAGTTGCAGATCATCACCACTCGGGGTTAGAGATTGGTCATACGTACTACGTATGCGATTACAAGGAAGTTGCTTGCAGACGTTATGAAAATTTGTTCCTTCTTCCAGGGGGTCTAACTGGCAGGTCTCCCTATTCCAATGCAGCCACCGACCAGCCCACACGGAAAACAGGGCGGGTGTTGACACATGTGTTGACGCGGTTTCACTTTCTTTTCCAGGATCATGGTCAAACACTCAAAGACATGCTTGCTGTGCTATTATCAAGTGTATTTTTCGTCTAAGCTCATTGTGCTATCCACTCCATTTGCTCCGTTTGCTTTATTCTTCCACCCAAGGCCTTCACTCTTCAGCCTTGGTCTCGTCCTCGATTGGGTCACCCTCCGAGATGCCTGTGGCTCGGCTTCTGTGCTTCTTCGGTGCGTTGCGGCAGGGCTTCTCCATTAGGAGTTAAACCTTTGGAGGTATAGCAGTATAGCTACAGAGTCTACACGGGGGACCCCCGAGGGTGGGATACGAGTTTGATACTGGTGAAGAAATGGACATTTGCATTTTTGAGATTGGCCCGAGAATGCCACGTTCACCCCAAAGATCGAAACCTGCTCAGAGGGTATATGTGACGTATGTAGATCCCTGTGATGGGTGGAACTAAGGATGCAGTTTTTAGTGTGTAGCAGCAGCATCGGACGGAAGCATCCAGACACTATAGTTTCTTGCTCGTGCAAACCGATGTGATGTTTTTTCTGCCAGGTGGACCAGCAACTTCCGGATTTGTGGCACAATTTATTTTGCTCCCTTTGACAATTGAAACACTTGATGTGTTTCGAACAACATGTTGCAACTCTTTTTCCCTGCATCATCCAATATATTCAATAGAACATGCATGCATGAACATACACTATCACATTGATCGCTTGCAATCGTGCACAGCAAAGCAGTGCAGCCCGAGCTCCCTATACATTAAGGTGTAGATCGATTAACGTACGTAATGTCCAGATTTGCGAACCTGTTGTGTTCTGCGCCCATTGCGACAGTGGTTTTGGTGGCATAGATTCTATGCTCAAGACTACCCACCGATACTCACAACACCGAGGAGCAAGAGCCCTCAATAAGTAGAAAAAAAGACCTATTGACATGTATTGACTAATGGCGCTATTACTCACGAGTCAGCACTGCTGGCAGATCCACTGCGAGCTTCCTGACCTTGGTGGTGTCCTGTCCCTCGTTCTCACGGTCGTCCGTTTCGGGCCCCAGCACTGACACCGCTGGTGGCCAGGTGCCCACCGAGCTTCCCACCAGTCCGGTTTCGGAGACCGACGAGGTCGAGACGGCTCGGGGTCCCCTGTTTTCGGAGCCGGGCGGAGGGTGTGAAGTTTTTTTGAAACATGATGCATGTTTGATCTTGTGTGTGCGGTTGTTTCTGGGGATTGGCAAGTGCCTTGTTCTGAAGGACACTTTTTAACGATGATTACTTTTGCTGTTCTGGTGTCAACTTCAAGTTGTTCTAATTTATCTGGGGGTTGTTCCAACCGAAACGAATGCTTGTCATTGACGAGGTCATTGATCAGATTTGCTGCGAAAGCCTGTCGATCGAGCACCGGAGCGGGCGGAGCGCCGAGGTGCAAGAGCCCACGATTTTCTCAGGCGGCTCGGATTTATCCACGCAGTTATGTGCGCGAACAGGTAATATATACCATGGTTACATGTTGTTTCAAGCTATGAAGGTATTGTAAATGGGTATAATTAACAACTCTTGAAAGTTTGTTTTTGAGATTCTGGAGGGAGGACGACGGGGACACGCTGTATGTTTACAGTAGACCTTGGGCAGCCAATATGCATCCAGGACAAGGACCTAGAAAGGGTTATTGTGGCAAGGATTATTGTGGCAAACTAAGGCAGAACTTGGTGCTTAATGTGCTGTTGGTATGCCATCAAATGCTGATTTGTTTGGAGGTTTCGTGACGAATCCACCTTTGAGCACACAGAGGAGCATAAACGGACAAACTTGTTCAAGCCCCCTCCCAAAAAGGCTGCTGCAGCTTTGAGTTCAGCTGGGTTAAACAATGTTGGCAAGTGCGTAGGGATCACGAGAACTGGGCGGCCCGCAATTTGGCACCGAAGAGCGGGGAGAATACACCAGAGTGAAAGATGTACGGAATTGCACCATTTGCTTTCACCTCCTGATGGTTTCTTTTTGCAGCGCGTAACCCATCTTTAAACTTGAACAATCTTTGTGTCATCCACCGAGTTTTTGTTCCATCATGAAGTTGAATTGGCGGCCAAGGGTTGTTGTACTGGTGGTTGCAGCAGGGGCAATTGGATACTACGTTTGTCTTGGTGTCATATCTATGCTCTGAACCTACCATGTTCATTGCAAAGAACAACGACAGACACCCTTTTGGAAGTTGAACAACACATCCACCTCTCACTCGGGGTTTGGCCTTATGTTCAGGTTGCACGCTTGGGGTTCGTCTTCGGCCGGCGACGGTCAATCAGACTGGTCTGGTACGCAAAGAAAACCTTGTAGAAAAAGACTTCAATCAATCACATTGCTCTATAGACATTCATTCATGGTCAAGAAGATGGACCAACGTGGAACCGATGGAAGATCCTTGTTCAACTTATTAAATTGAAGCCACTTGGACAGCAGCCACTTACTGGGAGCATAGGGGAAGCTCCTCGTTCAACATGTTTGGCTATTCACAGACCTTTTCAAATCTTGGGTTTCGTAGAACCGTGGGTGGATAGATGGCACTTCCACAGGACTTTGAAAGGGTAGCTCGCATACCCGGCCAGGCGGTGAGCCCACGAGACAGGCGGATGTTCGAGTGTGTGCGATGGTCGGGCGCGACGCCTGTGCGATGGTCAAGGGAGAGTTGTCCAAAATCCGAGCCATTGGGATCTCATTGGGAATTATTGTACTTCAAAACTCTAGGAATCGGTGGGCAGTTTCGTGATGGCCTGGCAGTATCAAGAACGCTTATTTGGGAGACTCTTGCGTTCCGTCAAGATTGACCCAGATCTGGAAGAGCCCAGATCCGGACTTTGTGCTCTCAGGTGCCTACCCGCCTGTCTGAGCCGACCATCACCGCGACGGTCACTCGTCGTCCTGCTCGCTTGAAGCCACCGTGCGGCGTGCCCAGATGGTGCCCGTGGGCTCAAAGCGGGCGAAATGAAGCGGCCACAACAGTAGGGCTCTATGCCGTGATGCTGTTGGGGACAACAAGATGGCAGTCACATGGATTCAGGTAAGAGTCCACCCAAGTTGATGAAGTTAAAAACTTCATCAACATAGGTTGTAACTAGGGATAACATATGTTATAATGACCTGTGGTAAGTTCGATAAGCTCCTTGGAAGATATAACACAGATATAAGTAAGTTCAAAAACATATGAAATTTATAACATAGTTATGACAGATGCTAAGTTGAAGCTTGCAGAACTCAGAAACAAGTTACGTAAGTTAATTGTTTATGATTGTTTTGGAAATCTGTACAACAAAACATGTTTATTCACAAACAAGGTTGATAAGTGCTCATGTTGTGCAGGGTTTGTTGGTTCTTTTGGCGGGTGTTCTGCCCAGTACTTTTCTCTTCAATGCAAGATTGTATAGAAAAACATGCTTTTGTATAGACACACGGATCAATTTTGCGATAAATTCGGGAATCGAATACACAGGGATACAGAGAGATACACAGGGATACACAGGGATACACGTGTATCCATATGTATCCAAGTGTGACACACAGGGATACACTTGGATACATATGTATCCCGGTGTATCCCTGTGTATCCCCGTGTCTCCTTGGACCTCCTTGGCATCAAGTTGTTCTTTTATCTATGGCAGAAATTTGAGGGCTCGGAAACTGTCCTGCCAGACTTGAGGGTGTGGTGGTGTCACGAAGATGACAAAGCCGTGTGTTTGCTGCAAAAGTGCGACTGGCTGTGGACTTGCGGCGGTTGTCTGCCCAGAATATGAAAACCCTTGTGTTTTCTGTGTTTTTTGCTCAACGCAATCAAGTTAAACAACTTAATGTCTTCAACTTTCTTATAACTTACTTACACTTTCTTTCACATAACTTGCCTAAATCTTATTTCTAACATCAGTAAGTTTTTTGCTCAAGTTATAACTGTTACAACTAGGGGGGCTCTTTGTGTAATTTATGGTTCTTGTCAAGGGGTTCATGTTTTATATCTATACATTGTTTTTTTAGGCAAACGATTTTATCAATTTGATCATATCGAGTTCATTGGGCACAATAGTGAAATCACTAAAAAAACTTTGCCAGACTTGTAAGATCTCAAATATAGATGGGATCAGATTAGACAATACACATACTTAACAGAAAGGCCTGTCGTGGGCGGCAGAAAATTGAGACAATTGGGACATATATTACATATTGGAGCAACATTTGACCAAATCCACAGCTTACCACTGGCTTTGCTGCATGGGTGGCATGAGAGGATGTGTGCCTGTATTTGGTTGCGTTTGCCTGCTGCACTCTAGAAGCACAGATGTATCTGGATTAATCATACTTAATGTAAAAGCAAAAGTTTTCACAGCAAGACTTCTCAGGAAATCCTATTCAATCTGAGTTCTTGTGAAAAAAATCTCAAGAAAAACAATAAAGAAACAACAAACAATGTTTCCACAACTAGTTTGATCTCGGGACTAGTTGCCAGATCTTTGATTTTTTTGAGTTTTTTTGTTTTTCTCAATGATTCGCATGCCACAGTCCGGGCTCTGAGCTCTGGCCGCCCCCCAGTTTAAACAATAGTAAAAATAGGCAAACTAGTGCAACTGTCCAAAAATAACAGAGAGGAAGCCAATAGGTCCGGTCACCCATTTTCCATTTGAACATGATCAAATCATTTTCTTTAAACATGTCTTTTCTTGTATGTTGCTTTAAAACATGACTATTACTTATGTCCTTCTATTTTCCCTTAAAAGCTGATGTTTTTAATTCTATTTACCTTAAAACCTGATTATTTCCTTTTTCTGTCCTTTAAACAAATGACTATTTTATTGTTTCATTTTATGGGTTTATTTTCCTGTTAAAGCACTATTATTTCCAGTTTGTGTCCCATGATTATTTCCTTGTATTGTCTTTTTAAATATTACTATTTCCTCTTATGTTCTTTTAAAACATAGATTATCCCTTTTCAAAGTGAATATTTCCTTTACCTTTCCTTTTAACAATGATTATTTTCGGTTGTTTCCTTCTAAACATTGTTATTTCCGTTGATTTCTGTTCACGAAATAGTATTTATTTGTGTTTCCTTTTTATAAATCTGATTGTTACCTTTTATTTTCAATCACAAAAAGCTAATTTTCTGTTTTCTTTCTAACAATGATTTTTCCTTTGAAACATGGCAATCCCTTTCATGTAACATTTTAAACATGTTTCATTCCGTTTAAGAATGAAAGGAAGTGAGCAGGTTTAAAGGGACAGCCTTTTTCAAAATTATAAATTCTTTTCATCTCACTCTTGAAAATGATTCTTGTTTGTTCAAACATTAAACGGGAAGGTGAGAGGAATTGCTAAGTCCTTCCATTTTTCCTTTTTAGTACTGATGAATCCTCGTCCTTGTCTCTTTAAGTTGCTATTCCAATTAGTTCCCTTGAAAACATGATTAGCACCGTTCATGTTCCTCTTATACATGAGTAATTCCTTTAATTTCCCGATTGAAAAATGATTCATGTCCTTCCAAAAAGAAGGGAAGTGATCGCGTTTCAAAGGAAACTTCTTTTAACCATGGCTAATTCCTTTCATATTCCCTGTAAATTATGATTCCTTTTTGTTTAAACATGAAAACAATAGAAAACATGACCATTTTTAGTTTAAATTGAAAGGAATGACCGAAAGGGAAAATGAACGGGAATCATCATGGTTAAAAAAGAAAATGAAAGGACACCTTTAAAGGGCAAGAAAGGAATGAATCAATTTTAACATAAAAATCCTTCAAGCAAAAACGATCAATGCTTTGTTTTCAACATGGTTTTTACCAATTGGTTATAATCAATTCCTTGAATTCTTTCAAAAAAGTATTAACTCATTTCATTTTCCTTCTATAAATGATTAATTCTCTTCATTTCCTTTTAAAGAGGACTCATCCCCTTCATTTTTCTAAAAAATATGTGTTTTTCCCTGTAAACATGATAAATTCTGTTCACTTCCCTTTGCAAAGTAATGAGCAGAATTGATATGTTTTAACAAAAAATGAAAGGAATTGATCATTGTTCAAGGGGGAAATGCAAGGAAATATATCCATTTATCCTGTGTAAAGGAAACTGAAAAGAATTGTTCATTTGTTATTCATT